TAGCCAAGAAATGGAAGCAACCTAAGTGTCCATCAGTAGATGAATGGATAAAGAAGATGTGGTACATATACACAATGGAATATTATTCAACCATAAGAAGAAAACAAATCCTACCATTTGCAACAACATGGATGGAGCTAGAGGGTAGTATGCTCAGTGAAATAAGCCAGGCGGAGAAAGACAAGTATCAAATGATTTCACTCATATGTGGAGTATAAGAACAAAGAAAAACTGAAGGAACAAAACAGCAGCAGAATCACAGAACCCAAGAATGGACTAACAGTTACCAAAGGGAAAGGGACTAGGGAGGATTTGTGGGAAGGGATAAGGGCAGGGAAAAAGAAAGGGGGCATTACGATTAGCATGTATAATGTAGGGGGGAATGGGGAGGGCTGTGCAACACAGAGAAGACCAGTAGTGATTCTACAGCATCTTACTATGCTGATAGACAGTGACTGTAATGGGGTGTGGGGCGGGGACTTGGTGAAGGGGGGAGCCTGGTAAACATAATGTTCTTCATGTAATTGTAGATTAATGATCACAACAACAACAAAAAAAGAAGACTTAAGAACACTATCAACCAACTTCATCTAATTGACATTCAGAGAACACTCCATTCAACAACAGCAGAACACCTATTCTTTCCTGTGCACATGGAATAGTTACCAAGAATGACCACATCCTGGGTCGTTAAAACAAGCCTCAATAAGTTTTAAAGAATTCAAATAATATACTGTATATCCTCTGACACAATGAAATTAAAACAGAAATCAATGACAGACAGATCCCTGGAAAATCCCTAAATACTTGTGAACAAAATAATAGTCTTCTAAATAAACTGTGGGTCAAAGAAGATATCAAAAGGGGAATTAGAAAGTATTTTGAACTGAATGAAAATGAAACATGATCGATTGAAATTTATGGGATACAGCAAAATGAGTAGTGAGGGGAATTGACAGCACCAGATTAGTATCTTAGAAAAGAAGAAATGCTCAAATCAGTGACGCCAGCTTCCATTTAAAGAAGTTAGAGAAGAAGGAGCAAATTAAATCCAAAGTAGGCAGACAAAGGAAATAATAGAGAATGGAAATCAGTGGAACCAAATTGGAAAAATCAATGGACTCAAAAGCTGGTTCTTTGTGAAAATCAGTAATATTGAGAAATCTCTAGCCAGCTTGATTAGGAAAGAAAGAGAAGACACAAATTACCAATATCAGAAAGGAAAGAGGAAACATCATTACAGATATTAAAAGGATAATAAAATATTATCAACAACATTATGCCAACTCTGATGACCAAATCTGAGAAAGACACAAACAACCACATCTCACTGTAAAACAAATAAATGACCTCAGCGGCCCTGTATCTATCAAAGAAATTGAATCTGTAGTCAAAAACCTTTCGCAAAGAAAACTCCTAGCTCAGATATCCACATAGGTGAATACTAGTAAACATTTAAGGAATAAATAATACGAATTTTGCTCAAACTTTTGCAGAAAATTGAAGAAGAGAGCATACTTCTCAATTTATTCTAAAAAGCCAGCATTACTCAGACATTACAAGAAAACAATGGACCGATGTCTCTTAAGAACATAGATCCCAAAATTCTAAACAAAATTTAAGTAAATCAAAGCCAACAATATATAAAAGGACAGTTCATCATGACCAAGTGGCGTTTATCCCAGGGATGCATGTTAGTTAAGTATTAGAAAAAGTAATCAACATAATTTACCATATTAACAGACATGATTATCTCACCAGACACAGAAAGAGAACTTGACAAAATCCAACATCTACTCCCGATAAAAACTCAGCAAACTAGGAATAGAAAGGAACATCCTCATCCTGATAAAAGGGAATCTATAAAAAAAAAACCCTATAGCTAACATCATACTTAATGCTGAAGGACTGAAAGCTTCCTCCTTAAAGCACAAGACAAGTATGTCTTCAGTCAGTGAAATAAGGCAAGAAAAAGAAACAGAAGCCATTCAGATTGCAAAGAAGGAGTAAAACTATATTCACAGACAGGATCATCTCTGCAGAAAATCCAATGGAATCTATAAAAAAGCCAAGAGAACTAGTAAGCATGTTTAGCAAGACTGCATGTTACAAGATAAACATAAGATTAATATAATAAAATTCTATTGTATGCTATATTCTAGCAACAAATTTTTGAAAAATGAAATAAAAAAAACCAGTATCATTTAATACAGATGTAGGTATAAGTCTGACAAAATATGGAAAAATCTATCTAAACTATAAAACAATTGATGAGAAAATTAAAGAAAAGTTAAATAGAGAAATTGTGTTCATGGGTTGGAAGTCTCAACATTGTGAGGATGCCAGTCCTCCTCAAATTGATCTATAGATTCCACACAATCTCAACCAAAGTCTAGAATTTTAGAATTTAACTGATGCTAAAATTCATATGGAAATGCAAATGCCCTAGAATAGCCAAGACAACTTTGAAAAAGGACAAAGTCGGGGAGTTAATACTACCTGATTTCAGGACTTATTATATAAAATGACAGTTATTAAGACAGTGTGGTCTTGGTATTAAGACAGGCAGATCAAACATTATATAGAAAACCAATTTTCATCAAAGGTAAAAAAGCAACTCAGTGGAGACAGGACAATCCTTTCAGTGAATAGTGCTGGAACAACTGCATAACCATATTCCATGACTCACTCCACATAAAAAGATTAACTCAGGGTAAATCAGATACCTAAATGTAAAACCTCAAACCATTAAACTTCTAAAAGAAAACACAGGAGAAAATCTCTATGAAGGTTAGGCAAAGATTTCTTAGACGCAATACCAAAAGCACAAGGCATAGAAGAGCAGACCGATAAACCGGACTTCATTAAAATATAAAAACTCTAATGTTTGAAAGACATTGTCAAGAGAATGGAACACAAGACACAGAATGGGAGAAAATATTTGCAAATCACATATTTGATAGAGGACTCGTGTCCCAGTGGCTTTCAAAGCTCCCCTCCTGCAAAGACATCCTATGATTAATGGCTCTTTGTTTAAGACAAGAGATGCAGACATGAGGTGATGATTGGTAAGAAGCTAGAGCAGTGATTCTGTATCAGCAGCCTGTTAAAACATGGGCGGCCGGGCCCCATCTCAGGATTTCTTAGTCAGTAGGGCCTGAGGGTTTTCATTTCTGATAAGCTCCCTGGTGGTGCTGCCCACAGTGTGAGAACTGCTAATCTGGACCAGTTTAGATTACACTGGACATACAGTGTCAGATGCAATATTTTCCCCCCAAGGGACAATTACCAAATAAATTATGCTTATTAAGAAATAATTTCTTTTCCCCTTTTTTATTAGAGACATCTGAAAATGTTAATCAGAGCTTCTGATCATCAAGAAAAAACAAACATGACATCACCGAGTTGGCATGATTCTAGCCTTGCCTCTTTGTTGAATACACATTCTGGTTTCCACAAAGCTGTTCAGAATTCACCCTGGAAAACATACATGGCCTTGTACCAACCATCTCATTATAGCAACGCAAAAACAACCATCATACCCCACGAAAGCCTGTCAACTTTCCCTGAACTTCCACATCTAACGGCCCACCCCACTACGGGGCTGCCGCCCAGGTCTCACCATCCAAGATGGCCCACTGATTGTCGATCTCTGTATGTTTCAGGTAGGAGTCTTCAATGGTGGGGTCGTAGTCAGGCACAAAGATCTTCTGGAAAAACTGGATGGTGAGGGCACTCTTGCCCACACCCCCATCTCCCACCACCACCAGCTTGTACGTGGGGAGGTTGTCACTGGGGACGGCACTGGTTGCCATGTTGCTGGTAGGTCAGACCTGGGGAGGCAAGACATGTGGAATGAGGCAGAGGGCTTTGCCCTTTCTGACTTAGAAATAATAGGACTTAGGAAAAATATTCAGGGGTTTTCTTCCCTTTTTAAGAGAGCAGAAAATACTCCCAATTATAGAAAGTTTTGAAAATGCAGAAATGCAAAAGAAAAGTGTAACCCCTGGTCCCACCACCCAGAGACAATCACTGTTAAAATGACTTATTCAGTCATTTATTAAATCCAACTCTGTGTCTGACCTGGTCTTGGGGACATGCTACTAGCAGATGCCATGTGGTCTTTAACAAGTAGAGTCGAAAGCTACATCAAAGCGGATTTTCAACTGCTAATCTCCACCCATTCCTGTGCAGGTAAACACGTGGGTGTGCGTGTGAGCAGGGACGGCATGGAGGTTCACTTCCACGTCAGTTCACGGCCTTGGGCTGCTGTGCTGAGGACACTCTGAGGCTGTCTGAGCTTACAGGCAGAGGGCCCCAACAGCTCAGCAGAGCTGGGCTCCGGGCCTCTGAGGCCCCTGCCAGCTCAGAAGTCTGTGATGAGGTCTCATTTCCCCCATCTCCTTGTCCTGTATCATGCAGAAAGCCATGCTAGAACCTGAGAGCATTTGGTCAACCCTTGTTCTGGTTTGAGAGGAGGACAGTGGCTGTTTTGTTTTGATGCCGCTGCATCCAGCTAAGGCAGTGGTGCTTAACCAGATGCAATTTTGCCCCCAGGGATATTGGTAATGTCTGGAGATATTTTTGGTTGTCAAAAATTTGGGTGCTGCTGCATCTGGTCAGCAGAGCCAGGGACACTGCCCCAAGCCCTGTAGTGCACAGGATGACCACTCACAACAAAGAAGTGTCCATCCTAAGATGCCAACAGTGCCAAGGCTGGGAAACACAGGACTAAAGAGCCTAGGCAGGAGCTGGAAATGTGGCCCCAGGATCCTAAAGAATGATCCAAGCCTTAGCAGGTAAGGACTGACTGTGAGGAGGCGATAGCAGGGAAGTGAAGCATGACCTTTGGAAACAGTGTTACAAGGTGACAAGGAAGAGAGGCAGGCAGGGAGCCCAGAAGAGGTGCTCAGAAAAGCAGGATGGAAACCGGGATCTGTCATAATGAGGGAAGTCCACAGTTCCCAGGAGGAGGTGACAGCACCAAATGTTACACACTAGTTGGGGGCAGTGGACAGAGTTACCTAAAGAAGGATTTGAGGGTTGATGCCAGGGACCTCAGCTGCCAACTGCAGACCTGCCAGGGAGAAGGAGCACCACCACCTGACAGAGCATTCCTGGTAGTATGACCTCGGGCCGGGGGAGCAAACGCTTGATCCTACATCAGTGGGTTAGAAAAGAATTAAAGAGTGTATGCCCATTGTGGGGGAAAGGCATGGTACATTTGTGACAGGGAAACTTAAGGGCCTGGAAAAGAGTAGTAGGCAGCATGCCCAGGAGAACAACAGACTGGGTGTCCTATGCGCATCACTGCTGCTTGGTAAGGCCACTGACCACTCCGAGCCATCGTTTCCTTACCTCTCAGATTAAAGGCTGGACTTTTGCAGCTATTTTTAGCTCTAAAAGAGTCTTCGAGTCTAGATTTCAACAGAGAGGGTAATAGACACAAATTCAGGTATGTGGCGACACTGATTTGTATGGGGCTACAGGCAAAAGTCATTGCATCATCTTTCGCAGTTACTGAAGCTTGATGTTGACATTTAGGATTTCCCTGCAGTGTGGGGAAGTAGGCACTTTAATACACGGTGGGTGAGGGTATAAACCTGCCCCCACTGGACCGAGACCACACTTGTACAAATATATCAAAGTTTAAAATGGACATACCCTCTCTTGAAGAAAATTTACTCTTGAAGAAAATAAACTCTCACATGTGAGAATTTACTTTAAGGAGATAATCAGACAAGTATACAAAGATGTTAAGAACAGGGGAGAAATATAAATAAATGTTGGGGGGAAACATTAGAGAAAAACTTTATCCATGACCTCATATTTATCCATACAGTGCAGCACCATGCAGACATTAAAAAGGATGACAGTCACTAGAAGTGGTTTATCTTACATATGAAAAAACCAAATAGGCTGCAAAACACTTGTGATGCCACTGGCACAAAGTTACCCATCTATGGATCAGCATGCCCAAATGTGCTTCTAGGTATAAAGAAGATGGCACATAGCTGTCTCTGAAATAGACTTGGGGGCAGTTTCTCAATTTTTCCATTTTCTACAACAAGCATGTATTATATTTGCATATTAGGAAAGCTTAACAATATTAAAATGTTTTCACCTAATAAAATATTCAGGCCACCTGAAAACATGTGACTCCCTGTCCTTTGACTGGGGATTTAAGTTCCTCTGGTGCCAGACAGAGGGACCAGGAGCCAGCTGCAGTCCAGGCATCTGCCCCCCGACATCTCCCTAGACGGGGAGAAAGATGGGGGGAAATCGAGGCTCAATGAACTGAACTCTCCCCCAGGACACAGATGGCGTCCAAAGGGGCCAGAGGGCATCAGAGGGACACAGAAATAGGGAGAGGCAGGTAAGGGACACAGAAATAGGGAGAGGCAGCTCCCTCTCTCCTTGGCCTCTCAGGTCAGGGGAGCAGGGCATTGGCTCTTCAGTTTCCCTCCTTAACCAGTTGTGGCCTGGAGTGGATGGTGACACTGAGCCAGGGTGAACACGTTTGCCTATGAAAGGGCTCTTTTTTAAGCTCCCTCCCATTCTCTGCTGGCAGAGACATGAAAAAACAATACCAAGTGGGTGCAAAAGTATCACGAAGGAAAATTGTTTCTCTTGATTTTCTTCTCAAAACAAAACAAGATAAGAAATACACTAGAAAATATCATAGAGGACATGAACTAAGCCTTTGAGTTCAGGGCTCGACCACTCACAGCAGAATCACCTGGGGACTTGCTAAAAATTGCCCTCTGCTTGCCAAGCAAGGCAGCTGGCAGGAAACGGTCAGAAGAGGGCCCCTTCCTGCATTCAGGGGTTGAGCTCCCGTGAGACCATGAGGTGCCAGCTTGGGGTTCTTTCCGACTCAGACTCAGTGGAAAAGGGTTAGAATGCATGATTAACACAAAGACTGGACTAGTCTCTGGTGGTGAAAAACCCTGTGTGGTCCACAGCCGATGGGTCATGTCCAGGCTCCTTCACCAGACATTTGAGGCTGTCACAGCGGCCAGGGCTGACCTCTCCAGTGGCACCGTGCCACAGCCTTCCACACTCCATGCTCCCTGCAGACCACCTGTGTTCTCCCAGTGAGCCCTGTAGTCACACTAAGTTCTCTGCAACCCCTGGTGTGTCTGAGAGAGCACGCACCCCTTTAGGGGTCAAGCCCGGGTCTAGGAATCGCCTCCTTTGGGAGGCACTGTCATCTACCCTGTGCCCTGCCGTTCCTGGTCACAGCTTACCATCATGAGGGAAACCTTCTGCACTTACTGTGCACAAAAGGTGAGGACTGCATCTTGTCCCTCTCTGGGTCACCAAAGCCTGGTAGAGCACCAGCACGGGGCAGATGCTAGCTGAGGAACCAGAGGCTCAACCCTGGCATTTCTGAACAGCCATCAGGCAACCTACTAGCCTCAGCATGGGCCCTCACCATGCAGGGGGAGAAGGGACAGCCTCCCAGTCAGCGGTTGGGAAGGTCTCCCTCCCTCTACCAAGCTGGGCCAATCACACAGAAATGCCCTTCTGGAAGCAAGTGTGAACCCAGGAAGGAAAGGAGGTGTCAGAAGGGTGGGAAAAGGGTCCAGAAACCTTCTAACTCTTAAAACCTCTCCACTGGATCTTCTGACAGGCATGCTTTTCCAGTCTCCAGCCTCCCGGCAAAATTATCCCTGACTAAATGATGTTTTTGTAAACCGGGAGGGCAGTCAAAATGCCAAGGGGCGTGCACCACACTCCTACAAAGCAGGCCAGTCTCGTGGGGTGGAGAGAAAGGGGTTTTTTTTAAGTCACCACAGGATAAAAAGTTGGTTGGTGGTTAAGGAGCAAATGCCCATCCTCTCTAGCTTATTCAACTAGAAGATCATTCTAGAATGTTGGTTCTTGAAGGTCATGGATGGCCCCTTCAAGTTGGTACAGGGTGGACCTGGGGTTCTCTTAAAAGTTTCCCCACCAATTTGCTGTGCTCGGTATTCTTCTACTGACCAGTGAGTGTCCCTGGACAAGTCACTCTTCACAGCCCATTTCCCATTGGTAAGAGGGCGTTGGTTAGAGAATCATACTTTGCAGGGTCACTCAAAGCATGAAATTAAAATGTATGCAGTGTGCTCAGCTTAGAGAAGGTGTCCAATGTCCCTCCTTGTTTGCTTTGTTCTCAAAGGAGAAGGAGACGTCGGAGTCCCTGTTCCTCTGGGAGTCCCAGCCTCCTCCTCCTTCCCCGTTAGAAGTCCCACTGCCATCTCAGCCACTGCAGCCAGATTAAATTGGGCTGTGTGGGAACGGCACCCATCATTTAGAATATTGTCTCCACGAGAAATGGCTCTGAGGTTCCAGGCAGCCCCCTCCACTCAGAAACCAACCTTTGGAACAGCAGCCCCCAGGCGGCAGAGGCGGCAGAGCACTGGTTCCCATGGCAGCCACCACTCCCAGCGCCCCTCCCAGGCCACCCGCAGCCCAAACCCTCCCTCAGACTGGAAATTTCTAAAAGGCAATATGGCTGCCTCAACAACTTGAATAACCGAAAACCTCTGGCATCTTTAGGCAGATAAATAAGCTTTTCAGCTGTTGTCTTTCACTCTCTCTCTTCCCAGGATTAGCACAATCTTTCATGGTTTGAGCTTATTTCCTGAATGGCAGATTCGCCTCTCAAGCAGCTCAGAAGCTGCACCAGGACAGGAGGCACATCTCCTCGTTCCTGGACCTCTCACAGGGCCGGGCAGGCCTCAGTACAGAGGCTCCGGGTCTGTTCACTGACTATCAATGAGTACTGCCCCAGGGCTGCCTTCTGCCCACCTACCTGCCCCAGGACCTAGAAGCAGGGGGTGACACC